GAAGCGGGCAGCCGGGGCAGCCCTGGTCTGACCCTGCGGAGAGCCCTTCTGCCCCGCTGCGCTCTGAGCTGCAGGCTGGGAGGTTTCAGGGCCTGGCATCTGCAGCTGGGGGGGCACCTCCCGGCGGCTTCGGGGCACAGGGTTGTTCTGGAGCCCCGGGGAGAAGGGACTGAAGGCTGGTATCTTTTGGGCCTCTTGTTCCATAGCCACTGGGCCCTGGGTGGCCACGGCATCACCATCAGAGATCTCTGCAGAGACTAAAGGCTGTGGGGTGGAGTGAAATCCGGCCGGGGTGATGACCTCAGGGACGACCAGAGCCTCTGGTGGGATCTTGGGCAGGGAGAGCTTGCGTGGGCCACCACAGGCAGAGCAGGAGTTGGCCACTGGCGTGTTGTGCAGTGTGCAGCGCTGGCAAGCCCAGCCATTTTCCAGCTCCGCTTCATCAGGGCTCTTCCCCTCCGAGTCCTCACTGCTGCTTTCTGCCTTGGTAGCCTCCTCCTTGGATGGGCCCTTGGGATCCACAAGCACGGTGGGCTTGGGCAAGATGCCATTGATGACAGGCAAGGGGGAGCCACTGGGCCCTGGCTCCGGGGTGAAGCCACATACCTCACAGGTTTCCTTGCCCAGAAAGTTCCTGAAGGTGCAGCGGGCACAAGCCCATTTCTGTTCCTCCACGCTGAGTCGCAGGATGTGGTTGAGGTCGGGCTTCTGGCGGGGGGCTTCGCATATGGAGCACTGCCGCTGGCCGACAGGGTTCAGAAAGGTGCAGCGGGTGCAGGACCACTCACGGACGGCAGCCATGGAGCCAGGAGAGTGGGAGTGGCTGGAAGAAAGAAGAAGACAGCGTGAGGCCAAGGCCACCCAGTACACAGGGGTACCACACGTTTCCTGGGCTGGCATGGTCAGGACCTTGCTTCCAGGAAGGGGACAACCATCAATCCAGTCATTGCCCTCTGCCAGTTCCTCTAGCATCGACAAACAATTTCTCCAAGTGCAGGGCAATGCACTGTCTTCCACCCAAAACACTTTGGGAAGGGCACAAGACACAGCCCCACAACCCCACCGACCGCACCCTCCTGGCGGGGATGTGCCCCAGCGCGCAAGCACACCGCCTCTGTGCCCAGCCTCGACAGTTGTGTATGTCTGCAGCTTGTTTGTAGCTCTCTGGAGGAGGTGATGTCCTGCTCTGCCTTCTTGCTGTTCCCAGGGTCAATTCTTTCCTCCTTCAGTGTCATGCCAGCCCTCCTCCGTTTCACTTTCTGTTCCTGCCTCTCTCCTCTCCTTTTGGCTCGCCACCAAGGGCGCAACACTTATCCACGCTGGGATAACTGTGTTATCCCACACCAGACACCACCAAGAAAAGCAGGTTGTGGTGTACGGTGATGCTTTTACTTGGCTATAGGCTCTGACCGGAGCCGAAGCGGATCACGGTGCATGGGTGCCGGGACAGCTCATCAACAGGTTCTGAGCTCAGCAGAGGCGTCACCATGTCCCAGCTCCAGCTCCTGCCCCTGCTTACCTGGGAAGCGAAGAGGCCACGGAGCCCTGCCGTCAGCACCAGCCTTCGGTTTCAACCTCCAGTGTTGCCCACGAACGCCTGAAACCCTGATGGGGGAACGAGTCCAACGCACACCAGAGCCACCTCCTTCCAGGGCCGAAAGTCGTAATAACGTTTTCTAGGCAGGTTCAATTTTCAGATAGCGAAGTGCAGCAGCAGCACCAGCTCCACAGGCTATGGCAACCTCTGGGCTTGCAGAGAGCAGCCTTCCCTCACCGCCGCCCTCCTGGTGCTTTCAGGAGGGCGATGCCATGCTTGCAGGCACGCTGACGAACGGCAGAAGGAATCTCAGCCCTGCACGGTGCCCTTTGTCCCCTGCTCGGGGTCATTTCCTGGAGCTTTGAGCAAAGGTGGGGCCGAAACAGAGCCTTCTGCTTCCTCCTCCTTCACACAAGGGCAAAACAGTTCTCCTTCGGGTCAACGTGCAGCACGAGCCCAGAGCCCTCCCTCCGTGCACTCCTGCTCCCAGATAACGTGGCCAAGCCTAAAGCCCCAACCTTGAACCCAAGCTCCAGGCCAGCTCTGCCTCTCTCCAGCTGAGCTGGTCCCCTTCCAACCCCTTCCACTCTGCCCTGCTTGCCCGAGACCCCGGGCAGAACCAACTCTGCAGAAGAAGCCTCTGAGTCCACCCCATGCCCTCAGCTCTTCCCGGGAATAGGAAATTCAGGCCATCTCAGATCAAGGAATAAGCAGCCTAAATCACGGGAGCTGCAATCCAGTGTGCTCACCACTGGCTCCCTCTCTGTCGTCCCTTCAACAACCAAGTTCAACCACAACACCGGCTGGAAAGAGAAGGGAAAGAAGACGTTTTATGCCATAGAGGGCAGGCGCAGAAAGCTATGAGACGCCAGCGCAGTCCGCGGAGGGAGCCGGGTCCTGGCTCGTCTCCAGAATCCCAAGCAGCAGCACCTGCACAACCGGCTTCCCAAGGCGGCTGAGCAGACTGCATTGCAGTAGCGGGGTCTTGAGGGGACAGAGGATGCAGCAAGAACCACCCTGGGGAGGAGGAGAGTGACCCTCCATTTGGCTGGGTACATGAGAAATTCTCCAGGGAATACTCTGGCAGCAGCTGCAGCAATCCAACCACATTTCCAGACCAAGCTCCATAGCCATTGGAAGAGCAGCTCCCCCTCGCAAAGAGATCAGATACAGCCTTCGACTCCCTCCTTAAATCAAATGTTTCTCTAAATAAAGCCCAAACTCAAGAAATCCATTTTATTGCAAGAGAGATATTGAAAATCCATTCCGGTTCATATACCATGCCTTCATAGTTTGAACTTTACAAGGTATTTATTTACTGGACTTATTTAAGGAATCTTTCCCAGCTAAGAGAAATCTAAACATTGATTTTTTCTGCCTGAAGTCCTACAGCTGTGAGCCACTGTACGGTCCTCTCCCTGGTGGCAGCACCATGCCCACAGTCGCCTGAAAGGGAGATCATCCCTCAAACAGAGAACGGGACGGAGCTGCATGCCCAACTCCAGCAGAGGCAGGGAAGCAAATGGGGCCGTGAAGGGCACCGTGATCCTGTCACATCCATTCGTCTTCCTGGATGAGGTTCATCAAACCACAGGCATCAGTCAAAGGCAAACAAAGGCTGTCGGCAACCTGCGCCATCCACGTCCGTCTGCCTGCAGCATCCCACACTGTTAGCCACGTACACCATGCTGGAGAGCACTGGCTCCGTAAAATCCACCCCTAAATGCAGATGTCACACTGTTTACTGCAGGTCAGGACCCTCCAGCCACCAGTCTTTCTGATGCACGCACTGCTCTTGCACCCACCCAGCAGGTAAAGGCTTCTAGCCATGCAACCACAGGACCACAGAAAGAAATCACCTTGTCCCCTCTCATACCAATAGAGAGAAGGGAAAAACCAGGGTAACCTAAAAGACAGAAGTACCACACAAGGGGACAGTGGGATGAGCTGCATCACTAGATCTGCTTGATGCGGCATCAGCGATGAGCTGCAGGCTTGGAGAAGGCAGCACCATTTCACTTGGTCAGGCAGGAGATCCAAGCTCCAGGCAGCAAGAAGGGAGGCAGAAGGCATGACGCTGAAGTGCTCCCCTCCAAGCTGCGATGTCGGCCCTGGGTAACTGTGACACTTCCTGGCCTCACTGTCCCTCTCCTGGTCCCCTCCTCTCCCCCATGCCACAGGAGTCGGCTCCCAACACTGTCGGTTCCAGGGACACCATCCTGCCCGCTGCTGGGACTTCCACCTACTTGACTTTCACCACTGCCAGCTTTGAGGAAAACCAAAAAGCCTCCCAGAAAGGCCATCAGGTCTTCCCTCAAAGGTCTGTGGCTCCCCTTGCAGTGGTGGGGCCACCAGTGTGGCAAGCTCGGGCAGGAGACTTCCCTGCCTGCTTCTCCCCAGGTCGGCTGTTGCACCCTGTCGCGGCACCCAGCAGCCACACAGCTTTCCTGCAAGCTAGTGGAAAATGCACAGAAACGGGACATGCATCTTCGGTTGTCCCGCACAAGCCACCGGTTCCTCAGCCTTGGCGACTGACAGCGCACCAGGCTGCAGCCGGCTCCCACCAGACTCCTGCCTAGGGCTGATGGACAATTCAAGTCCCTGCCTGGAGCACCAGACTTAATTTAAGGGTCCAAAGATCACAGCAGGCACAAAGCTGGAACCCATCCTTAGGTGGTACAACCCGTACCAGCACACAGTGGATCACAGCAGCAGCCTCTGCTCCACAGCAACACTTACCTCTCCAAAACGAACTAGCTGAAGGAGAAACCCAACTGCAGCCTGTCCAAGCTCCGTACTTCTCCCTACAAAGCCTGGCTGGTTCCTTTCCCGGCAGGCAACAAGCCTGCGGGAGGAAATACAGTTGTCTTCACCACCTATTCACCAGGCCCATCTGCTGTACAATAACACACATGCTCCCCAGCCCTGGAAAACGCAAGCAAGATAAACATCGCCTGCCACCCTCGCAGGCGCCTGTGCAGGAGAGGAACTCCTCTCAAAACCAGCCGCTACACAGCAACCTGGCAAAGTCACCCACCCACAGCAGGGCTTTTCTGGGGAAGAGGACACTTTACAGGGAGTATGATGATGCAAGCTCTCAGCAGCCCGGCGGGCTGGCAGCAGGGATCTGCTAGAGGCTCCTTTTGGGTGCACAGGGCAAGGAAAGGGCAAGAGCCGTACAACCCCACACCTCCAGCAGCATGGATGGGGCTGGCTCCACATATCCACGCGTCCCACCGCAGCAGCTCTACCCAGCCAGGACAGGGTGCGCATCGGCTGGCAGGAGACACCACCACATTGGCAGGACTGCACCTACCTTGGCAATCCCAATGGTGCAATTATAATACTTAAAAAAGAATACAGAAGGAACTCAATCAAGTAGGCAGCTCTCAGCATGCTGATCAGGTCCCAGGGAACCTTGCTGCTCGCTCTGCTTTGCGCAGGTAGGAGTGCCACAGACAGCCTGCCGCCGAGGTGACAGCCTCTAGAGAGGGATGCCAGCTGGCATGCCCAGGCAGCCTTTGCAGGCAGGATCTGGCAGCAGAGCTGCCGGAAAGGTGCGTGGCTGTGTCCCTCTGGACACCTTTTTGGAGTGCATGGAGGTGGCGGGGGAAGGTTGGCACTAGGAGGGAATGGAGAGTCACCGCAGGGATGTCACCGGCCCTTTGCTTCCCTCTGACGTGCAGGAATTTTCTTCTAACCGAAGTGGGGCAGAATTGTTAGGACAAGTCAGGGAAGGGATTAAGAAGGCACCAGCTGACCACCTTCCAAGCCCATCTCAGGACAGTGATATCCCCCACCAAGGGCTCTCCTGAGATTGCGTGTCCTGTTGCTACATAGCCCTGGCTCCTACAGAACCGTCGAACAAGCCAGGTGTCTCCATCACCTCTGGGGGTCATCTGGAACCAAAGGCTTGTCGGGAGCCTCACCAGAGCAGGGCAAGACAGGAAGGAAGAGGGCAGGGTGTGAGACCAGGGAGTGCCCAAAAACCTGCAGTTTGCGTCTTTCCTGCTGGCAGGGAGCTGGTGGTGTGCCAAGCCTGCGTGACGGCCAGCTGGGCTCCAGGGCAAGAGATGGCAACCAGCCCTGGACAGAAGCACCTTGGACTGCCAGAGCGAATGGCTCGAGGTGACCTGGGCACCGGAGCGAGAGATCCCAGGGCTCCACTGCAGAGCTCACGCTGGCAACAGGATTATACAAGCTTGTGTCAGTCACACACAGCAACAGAATCAGGCTGTTTCTCTAAATAAAAGTCCTCCAAAAC